CAGGTGGAATGTCAGAGAAGACTGGCCCAGCCTAAAATGGTATGGTTTGAGCATGGAGGGCCTCTGACCTTTGGGCTGGACACTGGACCCTGCAAGCCTTGACTTCCCATCTGTAGGTGGGTGAGCAATACCTGCGCCTCTCACAGAGGCCTGTGCTGAATGCAGAGAAGCCACCACAGCCCACCAAGGTGCTGAACTAGCCAATAAATGCCACTCCTCCCTCCAAGGTCAAAACTAGCAAGAACTAAAGCAGGAAACCCGAACAAAGAGGAAAGTGAGGAAACCCACAGGGTGGAAGGTAAAACTTTTATAAGAGATAGAGTGGGGGATGGACGGGAGCGAGAATGGGGGGGAAATGAGAGTGAGAATGTTATGAGGAAATGGGAGAGCGCAAATGGGAAACAAATTTACAATCCTGCCCTTCCTTGCATTTTCCTGCCATTGCCATGGAGCAAAGAATATCTGTCCCAGGTGAATGTGCCTGTCTCCAGGATTCTAACCAGGGCCATAGGAGCCTCGTTAGGGAGAAGCTGTGGGAAAACAGGAGATCAACTGGCCTCAGGCACTTGCCTTCTGGCAAACCTCACTGTCCTGGGTGCCAGGATTGGGGAATTATAGTCGAGTATTCCCTCATTCTCAGCTTTTCTCTGAAGAGCAAGGGTGAAGGCTGACTGGGGTTCTCTGGTGCCTGCAGCTCTCCAGGTGAGAGGCATCCCCTCGAAATCCCTTAGTGCTTTGGGGCAACCTGGACTGCCTCCCTCCAGGTCAAAACTAGCAAGAACTAAAGCAGGAAACCCGAACAAAGAGGAAAGTGAGGAAACCCACAGGGTGGAAGGTAGAACTTTTATAAGAGATAGAGTGGGAGATGGACGGGAGCGAGAATGGGGTAAAATGAGAGTAAGAATGTTATGAGTAAATGGGAGAGTGCGAATGGGAAACAAATTTACTATCCTGCCCTTCCTTGCATTTTCCTGCCATTGTAGTGGAGCAAAGAATACCTCCCCCAGGGGAATGTGTCTGTCTCCAGGATTCTAACCAGGGCCATAGGAACCCCTTTGGGGAGAAGCTTCAGGAAAACAGGAGATCAACTGGCCTCAGGCACTTGCCTTCTGGCAAACCTCACTGTCCTGGGTCCCAGGATTGGGGAATTATAGTCGAGTATTCCCTCATTCTCAGCTTTTCTCTGAAGAGCAAGGGTGAAGGCTGACTGGGGTTCTCTGGTGCCTGCAGCTCTCCAGGTGAGAGGCATCCCCTCGAAATCCCTTAGTGCTTTGGGGCAACCTGGACTGGGGTTGGGCCTTTCCCATAAGCACTGACTGACATTAGGGATAAAAAAACCCCTGGGGAAAATAAGCTCATAGGTGGAAATAAGAAGTTTAGTAAGTCAACTATTAAAACACATATACACAAGGCATTACAAGTTCTATCCAAAAAGCAGAACTATTAGAAAAGGTAAACCAAGAACTTAAAATTATCCTAATAAACATGCCAAAAAATTTAAGATATTTCAGTTAGAAACAAGAACAAGAAAATACCAAAAAGAACAAATAACAATATTATTTATGAAAAATACTAGAGGCCCAGTGCACGGGATTTATGCACCGGTGGGGGGTGTGGCCTGCAGGGATCAGCATGCTGTGGGAGCACCGCTCCTGCTGATCAGCTGAGCGGCTGTGGACCTGCCTTCTGGGCGGCTGCTCCCTGGTCCGCCATCTTCCATAGAGCTGGAGCACTCGCCTCTCCAGGGGACCTGGTCAGGGCAAGCCTGGGGACAATAGCACTGAGAGGTGGCAGAGTAGGCCTTAGTCCCATGGCAGCCATGAATTTGCCTCACGCTGTGGGAGGACCGCTCATGCTGATCAGCTGAGCGGCTGTGGACCTGCCTTCTGGGCGGCTGCTCCCTGGTCCGCCATCTTCCATAGAGCTGGAGCACTCGCCTCTCCAGGGGACCTGGTCAGGGCAAGCCTGGGGACAATAGCACTGAGAGGTGGCAGAGTAGGCCTTAGTCCCATGGCAGCCATGAATTTGCCTCCCAGCCTCCAGGGTCATCTCTGCGAGCTCAGCGATGGTGGCACTGTGTGGCCTGCGGGCACCCGGAGGAGGCAGCAGGGAGTGAGGAGGAGGAGCCTGGGGAGAGGAGACAACAATCGCAGCCGGGGTTCCTGCCAGTGGACCCGGGGTTCGCAGCGGGAACAGCCGCTCATCCTACTCCCACTGTGTTAGTGCACTGACCACCAGGGGGCAGACACTCAATGCAGGAGCTTCTCCCTGGTGGTCAGTGCACATCATAGCGACTGGTCGACCGGTCCTTCTGGTCGTTCCACCATCTGGTCGCTGGGCTTTTATTATATAGGATAATAAATAATAAAGATTATATAAGGAACACAACAGGCGAAATAAAGAGTGTTATGGATAGAGATGAGGAATTACTTAGCAAATTGGAAGATTAGATTAAGGAAACATGAGAAGAAAAAAAATGTTTATAATATATGAAGGTGCCGGCGACCAATTCCAGCATATCATAATTTCAAGAGTTTCATCAAAAGGTTGATGAGACTTGGGGACTCAACAGGGTTGAGTCACACATGTAGTCACCTGCTGGGAATGGCTAACCCAAAAAGGGATTCTTGATTGTGGCTTCCAGACAACTAAAAGGCATCTTAATCTACATGTTATTGCCTTCTACTGGCCAAACACCTGAACAGCCGTAGGCTAATTCCCCCATTCTGACAATGGACTCTGTACCAAACCCTGACCCTTTGAAGTGTATATCTCTGCCTCGTCGCCTCAGGAGTTGTGTTAATAAAAAGCCTGGGGTCCTGGGGACAGAGAGAACCTAAGACCTTAGACTTAAGATCTTGGATCTTAGCTCCTTTAGCTAAGCTCCTCTGACCCCCAATGCCTTTCAAAATTGTATTTCGTCTCCGGACTCTTTATTAGTCTCTGGATTCCTATGTCATCTACACACAGCCTTTTCCAGATTCCTGAACCCTTCTTGATGCTGGAACAAGAACCCCGGCATGAAGGATAGAAATAGAAGTGAAAACATTACACAAAAAGAGCTCAATAAAAAAGACTGTGGGGAAATGTTTGAAAAACTGGTAGAGATCAACTTCTCGGAATTAATCAAATAAGACCTCTCAGATCAGAAGGGCCTATAAAGTGCCAAAGAGAAGGGAGAAGAAAAAACTCATACCCAGACACAGTATAATAAAATCTAAGATTTTAAAGACAATAGAAAATTCTACAGTTTATACAAAGAGACTCGTTGTCTTCTTGCATTTAATGTTTCTGTTGAAAAATTTGATGTCAAAGTATTTATGGAAAATAAGTTACATTCTAGAAATGCCTATCCAGTCAAACTAACACATGATTTAAATATTCTCAGGCATTCAAAGGCTGAGAGCTTGCCATACAACAGCTTATGTTGAAACACTTTTGGACAAAGCGAGGAGATTAATCTAGGAGCTGTTGCAGAAGAGAAATAAAACAAAAATGATCACATGTCTTGGGTCTTAGCTGTTTCTTAAGATGACAGTAGCTTTACAAAGAAATAGGAAAAATATTTGGAATAACCCAGAATTAAGAATCTGTATGCTATTAAAAGAGAAGTTGTGTGGGTAGGGGGAGGAACAAAGGTTGTAAAATCATGCTAAAATCTGTGTCATGTTAGAAGAAGACATAAGTATTAATTACATAAGAAGAAGATGTAGAGACATACAAATAAGTGGAATAAATTTTAAAAAAAAACAATTTAAGGTGGTATAAATCAGAATTAATGCTAATTAATAAATGTACAAAATTCACCAGCTAAGAGAAATATTGACAAAAGGATTAAACAAATAGCAAAATCCAGATATAAGCTATTTACAAGAGAAACAATGCATAAAGGTAAACTTTAAAAGAATGAAGAAATATATCAGGCAAATTTGATGCAAAAGAAAACTGGTATAGCTATATTAAGAGCAGATAAAATAGAATAAGACAAAATGTATAATTGTGGATACAAAAGGTAATATTTAACCTTAAAATAATAAGTTCAAGCACATATAGTAATTTTTAATTTTCATAAATTTAAAAAATAACTTTATAATATGGAAGCAAAAATTAATAAAACTTCAGAAAAATCTGATCAATAAAATACTATGGTGGAAGATTTTAATATGTCTTTCTCAATTATTGAAATAAGTTAAACAAGGAGCAAGGGGTCCCTGACTGCGAGGGCCCCGGACTGCAAGAGGGATGTCTGACTGCCAGCTTAGGCCTGATCCTCCCCAGACTGCAAGAGGGATGTCTGACTGCCAGCTTAGGCCTGATCCTCCCCAGACTGCAAGAGGGATGTCTGACTGCCAGCTTAGGCCTGATCCTCCCCAGACTGCAAGAGGGATGTCTGACTGCCAGCTTAGGCCTGATCCTCCCCAGACTGCAAGAGGGCGCAGGCTGGGCTGAGGGACACCCCCGCCCCCCAGGTGCACGAATTTCATGCACTGGTCCTCTAGTAGATATATAATTTAAATAAGAAGATAAATGAATAAAAATTTTAATAGAGAGGCCAACAAAGCCAATGTGAGATATGAATGAGAGAGAGAGAAGGAAACACTCAAATAATGTACATAAAATAGGGACATAGCTATATATAAAGTAGATATTCAAAACACAATAAGAAAATACCATCAACTTTACACCAACAATTTTGAAAGCTTAGACAAAATGTTGTTGTGGATGTGTGCTGGCTTCCATAAAACATAACTAGTCATAAGGAGCTCTTCAGTATACTCCTGACAGAAGTAAAAAGGTCACTAGAAATGACTGACAAGACAGGGCCACTGCAGACATAATTCTCTTGCATAATTAATAATTGCTAGAAAATGGAGTTTGACATTATTTACAATTATACCAACATTCATGGAGGCTGAGTATCACAGGCATAAGAAACGTGTTTCCATGTTTCCCAAGTAGTTTTCTGTTTTAGCTACGGAGGTCAGTTACCACAACCAAACTTGTTCTTAACAAGTAGAAATTTTATGTCCATTCAAGCAGAGTCTCTTACATCTTTCTGGGCCTATTCATTTGCAGAGTAGAAACTGTAACCAGGTTCTTCACATCATGCATTCACATATAATGTCCAATCTTTATATGCTGTCCAATTTCTTTAAGATAAAAAGAGTGACTCGCAGCAGGGCTACATAGATGAGGAAGTTCCGTATGGAGGAGATCACATCCTCGCGCATCTTCCGTTTCATCTCCTTGGGGTCCAGCTTCGGCGCGAGGCCCTCGATATGGAACATTGCGGCTCTGCCTCACCGGCTTCCACCCAATGAATAAATTCTTAAAAGCAGACAACTGATCAGAGCTGAACCAAGAAGAAATAAAAATTGAAAAGGGGGGTGGGAAAGGGGAAGAGATTAACCAAATAATTTATATGCACATATGCACATATTGTCTGACATGGACAGACAATAGTGTGGTGAAGGCCTGGGGAGGGGGTGGGACCAGAGTGGAGGGGATCAATAGGAGAAAGAGGAGAATATCTGTAATAGTTTCAACAATAAAGATAAATTTTAAAAAATTGAAACAAACAAACATATAATAGAAATTGAAACAGTAGTTGAAAATCTTTTTCCAAAGAAATTACCAGGCCTAGACAGGATTACAAGATCAGATTATTCTTTTTAATTAAGGGCAATGGCTACATGGAACAGACTGGCTGGTGTCTGAGTGGGGAGATGTGGGGGTGACTGTATAAAGAAGGTGAAGGGATTAGCTAAAGAACGTATATGCATACTCCATGGATGCAGACAAGAGTTTGGTGAAGGCC